GAGAGATGTGTGCAGCAGCTGACTTGAGTGTATTTTAGTTGCATTCCATTTCTCTGCCATTAGGTAAAAAGAACCCTTAACATATGTGGAATATGCTGTCTGCCTTTTTTCCTTCCTTATCAGACCAAGTTTTCAATAAGTGAAGCCACAACGTTGGCAGATTTGTTGGCACTGCAGTTACACAGAGTGGAAGACGATGTCCGCAACATAGTGAACAAAGCAGTGAAAGAACTGGGGACTGAGAAGGTAGTGTCCTCGGGGCTGTGTGTCTTCTACTAGGCTGATTTTGTTCATTAGCATAGAAGCCAGTTCAGGGAGCAGTCCTTTGGATGCCCTAGCGTGTGGAGACACAAGTCCCAGTTTGTTTGCTGTTGCTAGTTAGGTGGGTGACTTGAGCAGGAAACAGAATTATTCCGGCCACAATAGATGTGTCAAACAGAAGGGTTGTCTGATGACCATCTTTGTAGTATATCCATCCTTTATTTTGTAGTAACTGTCTTACTTTTGTAATAAATATCTTTTACTTTGTAGCAAGCACCACTCTAAGTGCTTTATTTATATTCATTCAGTACTCTGAGGTAGGTGACATTATCCCTATTTTACAGAAGAGAAAACTGAAGTAGAGAGAAGTAGTTACCTTACCCAGATAGACACAGTGGACTGAGGTTCACGTTCAGCCACTCAGGGAACTCCCTGTCTCATGCTGGCTAGTTTGTAAATAATGTCTATCAACCCTTCAGATGATCTTTTAAGTCTCTTCCTACTCTCACATTCTGTTTTGGTGAAGGATGTAAAACTCAGATATGCTACAACCTTGATGTTAGTGTGATGCTTGTTCTTTTGGTGGGATGGAATTCATTCTCCATTCTCCAAACCTTACTACCATGAATTATTTGGAGGAAAAAATGAAGCCAATAATATTTGATATCACTCTCCTTTATTGGAAATTGTAAAAAATATTTTTTAAAATCCAGATAATAGCCTAGGTATTGATCCTAAATTAAACTTTTGCGCACATAATTTACACTTTTTTTTTTT